CTGCTGAACTGATTTAATCCACCCCAACTCTGAGTTAACTTTTCATAAAAGTCAGTCTATGACATCCTAATCTAAGAAGTTATCTGTGCTTATGGTTTCAGTGCAGTTCTACAGAAGGCCAGTGCTGCTATTTATAAACTGGGTTTCACTATTCTATTGAGGTCTCATACAAATCTTACAGGTTGAAAAAAAAAGGAATAGTTGGGTAAGAAGACGTACGATAGAAGCAACTGTTTTATAGCACAATATGAAACTTGACACTGGTTGCTGCTGCCAGTATGATTCCCAAGTGAGATGGATAAATTGTGGTCAGGACCTGGACAGGTTAACTAGTGGTCATCAGTGCTGGTGGTACCTTTATATACAAAAAAAAAAAAAAAAAAAAAAAAAGGATACTATTGGACAGGGCATTTGAAATTTAATACCAGACATGAAACAAGACATCTGTTGGACTCTCATTTGTTTCTCTTTGAATGGGCTTTAATTGAAAGCTCAGTGAAAAATGCAGGTTACATTCTTAGTGTTATCAATAGTTGGTAACAGCAACAACATCAGAACAGTGATGCATCTAATATTTATACACTTTGTAATTTTAGATGTCTAAGAGCAATACATTATCAGATATATATATACATACAATTTCAAGCAATTAGAAGTAAATAATAAACCCCTCCTCCCAAAACCCTGAAACAATATATTTCCTTACACTAATAATGTCTTTTTCACATATACTTGACAGAGTCTTTTTAAGTTACTTATCTTAAGAGTAATCTGTTAATGGAGATCCTGGACCAGCCCCATTAAAAGTTCAGTTTTAAGTTTATACAGCTTGCTAGCCACATAACCAGTGTGGCTTTACATTGTAAACAAATCCCAAATGTCTACAATGATTGGAATTAAGTTTTGTGTGAAGGAGATATATGAATCTCATGATAGAATAAATTTAAACCAATACATTAAAAAGAGAGAGAGACAAGGAAAGAGTTATTTGACAAACAAAACAGCTTGGGGGGATCAATAATGTGATTATCTAAAAAACAAGTTAACATCATGGTAAGATTCTTTTTTTTTCTGTACAGGAGGCTCTGATTCATCTAGCTTTAGCTGCTCTAGAAACACATTCTTTAAAAAAGGGTTTGATTTGTGAAATTCAAAAGCAGAGCTTCCAACTTTAAAAGCCTGCCCTTTGGCAGCACAAGTACAAAGTTTACCAAAAGTATCTCAGGTGATTGTTCCATCTCCTTTTGCGAGGAGAGCTGTGCTAGCAGTTAGAAACCTCAGCATATGTACAGATGCAGTAAGCATAAAGCTCACCTTCAGCAGGGAGGAATCACCCTACCCACTGCAGGACTTAAGCAGGTACAACAGTGTGTACCCAGAGAAGTTCAAGTGAAAATAAAACCAGAAAACTGGACGGGTGTGGAAGGTTAAGCATAGTTTATAGTAAACTTGAAATGGTGGCAATCTTGCTTACTTTGTAACAAAATGACAAGTAAAAATCTCTTGAATTTATTGGATAGGAACTCATGTAAGTCCAAATGGAAGACAAGGATGAGCAGAATCCTACAGTTTAGTTAACTTGTGTCAAGTGGGATGCGAAGACAGCCGCAGCTTTCTGACAGAGGTGACCGAAGAGGGCTGATAAAGTTTGCAGTAGCTCATAATGTCCCATCTGGTTTATTCACTTGTTTGAACTGTCTAAAGGGCCAACTGCAGTTTAGTCATGTTCCTCTGGTGCATGTTGTGATGACGAACTAATTCATCAGACCTGGCAAATTTTTTTTGACAGCTGGGCCACCGGCAACTGAAAGGCTTTTCACCTGTTAACAAAACACCCTGTTATTAACTGGGTATGACACTGCTATTTGTTTTCCTTCTGCAGGGTTGTGAGGAGCCAGGCAGAGCCCCCGTCAGGGAGAAAGGCATCCCAGGCTGTCCTGAGAGGATGTGGGAATCCCCTCAACTCCTACTCACATCAGCACTCAGTGCTTTCTTGCATCTTTCACAACTGATGTTCAACAACAGCCTTTCCCAAGGACATAGAACATTTTGCAGTGGTTCCTTCCTGAAGACAGGGCCTCGCTGAACACACGTTGCCATGTCTATGCTATTCTAAACTCTCCAATGAACTAGTTTAAAATAACACTGGCATTCACACAAGCTTCAGTCACACCCCGGACTGTGGTGCAGACATACTGTTGGTCACTGTGAAAATTGTCAGTGACATTTTAGAGCTTGACCTCGTGTCAAAGAGACCTTTTCCAGCTAGTTCAATGAATTTTGGCTGAAGGTCTTTGACATTGGTGAGCTTAAGTGAATATGGGAGAAACAACACAAGTTCAGCATGAAGTCTGCTGAACCAGACTGAATGTTTCCCACTATTTTCTAAATAAAGTAGATTTACATCTATAAGAGATGTTAAAGGCTCAAAATATTCTGTATTTCTAACATTCCCATCATATTCACTAAAAACAATCCCAAGCAAAGCACATTCAATTTGAACAAGAAATGCCATCACCTTTTAACAGTTTCATGTGGTCTCTCAATTTTCTACAATGTTTAAGTGGAATTTCAGGCTGCGATCCTGATGCTGCAAGAATGCTGGTGGAATGCTTTCATTAGCTCAGCCCAGTGCCCAGTGACTCATGTTTCATTTAGACTTGCATTTTCTTTTTTTTTTCCCCCCCCAAAAAAATAGATGCAATATTTTTAATTGGGTTCAGCTCTGTTACTGGGCACTTCAGGGCTGTCTACACACCATGTACTCTCCAACTCAAGACACACCAGCGTTGTACAAGCTCGCTCTGCCATCTTCCTTCTCTTCTTTGCCTCATACTTTGTGCATTTCAGAAACTAAATTCAGGCCAAAGGGGATCTGAGATTGGCACAAATACACATTTCTGTTTGCAGAATCCTGTGCAATATATGTAAGGGGGGGTGGTTATAACATACTTTATCCACTTACATGCTGGCAAAAGCATCATCTATCTCACATGAGTGTGTGAAACAGTATGGGCAAAACTGCTCTGGTTAGAGCTACTAAGAAAACCCACAGACTGTACAAAGTGGTCTTCTTTCATCTCAGCAAAATTAGCAAAACCATTCTGTGAACCAACATGAGTTCTCTATTACTGGCCAGTTTTTCACTGAATTGTAAAAAATAGTAAAAGCATCACAGTTTTGCTGTTCCACAAGCAATTCTGGTTGTCCTCTTGCAAGAGAGGGCAGCAATCTCTATTAGTTCCAAGCTGGTCACAAATTACTTTGTACAGCTTCACTCTACAGATATGAGAAATCATGTTTGCATTTGAAAAAAAAAAAAAAAAAAAAAAGAGAGAGAGATCTGGCATTTTCCTTTCATTCATTTTTTTCCTTTTTACAGCAAAGATTGCTGTTGAAGTAAAACTGTTTGTGGAGACAAAAAGCCCTGATTTTGTAGCTTAACAGTGTGGCAGCTGACTTAAAATAAAGATGGAATTAGGTGGAAGTTACCTCTGCTTTGTTTAATCAAGATTTAACATGGAGTAAGATAACTTGAGCTGGTTGTTTTGTTGCAAAATTTACGGGGTACAAGAAAGAAAGGGAAATGAAGCTACAGGACAAACTGGAGACAAAAAATCCCCACCCACCACTCAGGCTCATTCCTCTCAGTATATGTGTATTTTACAGCCACCGGAACATGACACATCCAAAACCGCCGACAGGAGCAACATGACAGCAGCAAACAGCTGGGCTGCAGAGTCCACACAGGACCCAAGCCAGTGGCAGGCAGCAAGTCCATGCCAAGGTCTGTCCTATGAGGATATCACTGCTGAAGAGTGAGGCTGCTTCCAGCCATGAGGGCAGTGTGGGCTGGGATCACATGGAGCAAGGACGAGCTAGAACAGGGAGAATGAGTTTCACCCGAAAAAAAGAGAGCGAGTTCCTCACTGATTTAGCCAGTCTGGAATAAAAAATGTCTGAAGTCATGAAAGTAATGAATTAGCACATCAGTTGGCAGTGAAATGTGATGGGGATGTAGTTTATCCTGACTTGCTTGCATGTGACAACCACTTGCCATTTGGTCTCTACCTGAACGTTACCTCTTGCTGCTTAAGAAAATATCTTCCTTCATGCAAAAACACAGACACAGGCCCTGCAGCTCAGCATGAGACTCTGGGAGAACCCAGGAACACAGCCATGCCCCTTACCATCTGCAGACTGCAAGTGCAGACATGGCCACTACTTGAAGAATTCATTTGGCCACTGCCACATAAAATGCCATTATTCTCAAGTGAATAATTCATTTTATTAAAATTTCTGTTGTATTTCTGGAAGTCTTAAACCTGTGTTTTTATGGTCCAGAAGAGAAAAAAGAATCCTTAGTTGGGAGAAAAAGATTTTCAGGCTCCTTGTTCATCTGTACAGAGACTAAATTTAAAAGGTTAACACCAGTACAGAAATCACTGTAACACCTAAAAACATGTCAAAGTGCTCAGTAAACAATTGCTCATTAAAAATACTGCATACATGCTGAAAGGGAACAGAACATGTCAATTCACAGGAATTTTTCTAAAACTTAAAATACTGAGGTTGCTGCAGTTGCTCCTTAATGGTGTTTACATTTACATGAGGTCAGAACAGACTAAAATGGCCTCCTATTTTTTCCCCTGTATTTATATGAAATACTATGGTTTCTACAAAAAGATCCCTGAATATTTGAGTAAGCTTTTACTTTAGTGTCTGTCAATGTGAGTCTGCAAAAGGCACTCCTTTTATCTTCTGGAGAGATTACAGTACAAGCAGCAACAGCAAGAGCTTTGCCGTGCTATCCTGCATTAGGCTCAACTGACACTTGGGAGAAGCATGAGTAAGCGTGAATACTTTAGATTACAGACCCTAGGCTGAAGCTAGAATTAAAATTTCTATCTTGTAGGGTTTTATTCAGTAAAGTCAGTAGATCAACTTGACATCTGTGAGCTAAAACCATGATGTTCGTTTCACAATAGCTGACAAAATATATTTTGCCAAGCTGAAATTTCTTTAAGGATGAAGAAAGAAAGCACAGGTTCCAAAATCATCTAAATCTCTTTTGTGAAAATGGACTGTGACACTTGGGGAACGTAGTCACACTGAAAAATCAGCACACTGAAATTATTTCTGTTGTTTTGAATATTTAACTCTGGTTAAGAAATTTTCTTAATCATGTCATTTACAATAACATTGATTTAAACTTTAAAAATAATGAAATATAAATGTGAAGAAAAGTTTACGCACTTGTTTTACCTGTATGAGTCCTGGTATGAGTCTTCAGGTGATCAGATCTAGAGAACTTTCTCTGACAGGTTTTACACTGGAAGGGCTTCACACCTGAAAAGACAGAAGTCTATTCTTACAACCCAACACTATTTGGAAGGGTGAATAAAATCAGCTATTTCTGAATTTTCAAAAGCCTGGATTTTTTGGTCCTAGTGACTGTAACTGCCTCTCCCAGCTTCATGCCCACACAGTGCATAACATCACTCATCAGGCTGCCATCCCTCTCTAACCTCCTCTTCCAGTGTCTGGGTCTGGAGCACCCAAACAGCACCATCATAAACAAGCACCCACTTCACTGTTGGGTCAGGGAGGATCTGCAAACTTTGTTAATTCTGATCCTGTGGCTTGGCACTGTTTGTAACACCTATGAGCAAACAGGACATAAGAAGAACAGAGGTACAGAGGTGTATTTTTGTATATTCCAAATATTATTAACTTCCTTTACACTTCTGCTACTATTTACTTTACACACTACACACAAGCCTCGGGAACTGCTTAACACAGATATCTATGTTCTAGCATGCGGTTGCTAAAGATGGATCATCCTAACAGACTTTTACCACCAGCTTTCAGAGTCACCTCCTACATCTCTCAGTAACACCATTTAAGTGGGACAGAACATCTTCAGCAAGAAAAGCAGTAGGCAGACATCAACCACTGCAGAATGAGTACATTAGTTGTCAGGCCAGTCCCTGAGAGATAGGAAGACCTAACTGCCATTTCTTGCTGTGGCTCAGTCACCCTTTCTCATGTTCCATGTAGAGTGCCCTCATGGTTCCACTCCCAGCCAGGAGGCTAGAATCATCACCAGCTCCTCTTCTCCAACTTTGGGAAGGGCAGCTGTCTCCCCTGTCAATCTAATTGAGACCTCCAAGTACTCCAAGTACCAATGGGCTGTCTTCATATTTGCAGAAAATGGTGTATGTGCAAAAAACAACTTGCTGAATTTGGACTGAACTCACAAGTAGTTTTGGCTATCTCAGAACATTTCACCCAAGAAATTATTCACTGAGAAAGACACTAGCTTAGCTAGGACCTAGATCCATCCGTGCCTGCTGCTGCCCTCTCCACTACATGTGAATTGCTATGCATTTTCCAGACTGCCTGTGCAACCCAACCAGCCAGATCTTTGATATCTCTCTCTTTACTAGTCCTAGAATCCTTCTTTAGTTGACAGAATTCAATAAAGTCTCAAATCTAAGCTGAAGTAGTTTGCAGAATTAGGGTCTTCAGCGTTATAGCTGGTGTGGCTTTTGCTTCTCCACCTCTGGTTTCCACATATAAATGCACAGTAGTCCCACCAGCCTTTCAGGTTATGCTCAGGCAGTGTTCACCTACTAGCATTGCCACACAAACACCACAAAACCAACCACAGCATTTATCAGGTTAATCACTGGCAACTTTTTTCTTGCAGAACTATTTGGTTTTTAAAATAATAATTTCCCTATACTGGCTATACAGTATAGAGCAAAGAGTTTCATTAAGAAAGCTGTTTCAAAAAGATGGGAGCAGGATTTAAGTGTCACCTATTAGAGCCATAGTTCTATAAACCTATAGTGCTGAAATGCCAAAAAACAGACTCAGCTGCAGTTCTCTCCTAGAGCTAACTTCAAGAATATGGCACTAAAGGTATAATGCAAAAGCAGACACAGCAGCAGAACAACACAATTTTAGAAGGGCAATTTATGGATCTCAATTCACACACAAAGATGAACTGCAATGAGCAGAGTTGTCTCATCAACAAACCTGTGTGTCGTCTTTGGTGCCGTTTGAGTTGGTCTGAACGAGAAAATCTCCGTTCACAGTCCTTAAAATCACACTGATAAGGTTTTTCACCTGTAAAGGACCAACAGTTTATCAGGAAATGTGGCTAAATGAGGACAGATGTCAATCAGGAGATGAAACATGTCACACTAAAAGACTCCTCTCCTGTCTAAAGCTACATAGTGGTACACCAAGACTCATTTGCTATAAAAACACCCAACTGTGCTGGAATCCAGGGAGGAAAGGCTGGCATAATTCCACTGCACTGACACTGATATTGAACCTGCTTCTTCTGAAAAATAGCCCATTAGGTTAAAAAGCTACAAAACAAAATTCAGGTTGCATAACGTTTTTAAATTGTTTTCTGCTGGAAAAGAACAGAAATTTCATTTTATATTTCTCAAAAAAAAAACCCAACAACCCAAAACATATTAAGTCCTTTCCTCCTATTTCATTAATATCTAATTTGCAGAAGTTGCAATTTGCTCTAAATTGTATTTGAAGCAAAAATTAAACCAATGGCATCCCTGTAGGTGGTAATTTTAACCATACTAAATGGATTAAAATAAAATTAAGTGCAAATTTCAGCCACAGAAAAATACATTCTTCCCCAAAACACAAATTATGTTACTTCCATACAGCACCATTAAATAGAAATTTTCCTGTAGCTGCACATCTCCCACAGGCAAGCCTATGAGTTATGGAAAAGTCTCCTCCACCTCCCATGCAGTTTAGAAGAGATCCTCGGGATGGGTTTTCTTAGGGATGAAAAGTGAGATTCTGACTTGTCAAAAAATGAAGGACCTTCAAGCAACCTTCTCAAATGAACATGTTTTTCAATGCAAAAGGCTTCACCAGCTACATAAACATGCAAAAAGAAATGCAGCAGTCAAGGAGCTTGAGGAAAGAAGGAAATACCACTGGCATGTAGCATGTCACAGAGTCAGTGAAATTTGGCCAGCACAAAACTATCCTAATCCTTCTGCTGTTAAAGAAGGAGCTGTATGAACTTTCAGATCCAATTCACATCTAATCTAAGGTCCCTTTTGCACAGCACTGGAATCCTGCAAGAGCCTCGGATACAATTACATTTATATATAAAGTCTGTATAAAGAACCACAGCCCTACACAAAGGCCTTAGCACAAGAATTAACATCTTCTCACTGCAAAGCTGAGAGAATCCTGGGTTTTATCTGGAAGGGACACAAGAGACCAGCTGGGACCTGCTTTGTCTACAGTGCAAAGCTGAGATAAAAGACAAAGGTCCAGTAGGAAGGAACTAAAGAAAAACAGCAGCTGAAGTGGGCAGTGAGTTTAATTTCTCTTGGTCTGTTTTAAACATACACAACTTTTTAAAATCTTCAATGCAAACATCTGGATTTCTGATTTTATTATGATGGGGAAATTTTATTATGATCAGATATTTTGATGAAGAAAAGGTGTATCTCGGGATACCACTGCAAACTAGTCTAATCTAAAGCCTTCTGATCTAGCTGACACACTATCAGTAGCATATTGAGGAGAACATTCCAAATCCACACCAGTGTAGCTAAGATCAAAATTTTACAAAAACAACTAAATCTGCAAGAACAAGCTAACTTCCTGTGACAGTCACCCAGAGGAGTTTAATGATTCTCAAACCTAGGTGTGGACAATTTCCATGTCTGCTGTGCTTAATTTATTAGCGTAAGGGATTAAAGTTGCCACAGGTGTTTGAAATAGTTCCATACACTTTGACCGCAAGGACTCCCTGGGGGGTGCCTGCTTTTCAGAAACCACTTACTTCCAAGGAATTCAGCTCTTTGGCAGATTTAAGAGGGGGAATGTCAGCAGAGCAGAATGCAGTGACAGGATGACTGTCTGCTAATTGCAATATAAATGCAGAAGATGGTTAAGGAGGTATTTGAATAAAACAGTATAGTGGGTCAGATGGAATGACCATGAAAGCATTTCTTTAAATACTCTGAAATATAATCTTGATTAAACTAACAACCAATTTAACCAATTAAAGGAATCAATCCAAGATGCTTGCACAGAGATACACTGACACTGCACAGAAAACAAAAAGCAAGCAAGCAAGCAAAGAGGCACAATATTGGGACAGAAATTCTGATTTCCCTTTCCTTCTCCATCTTCCATGCCAGCCAAGCCAAGCAAAATGCCTGCAAATGCCAACTGTGACATACCTGTTCACTCCCCTCAGTTTCATCAGAACAGGACAACGGAAATGGTCCCAATTATAAAAGGTCTGTTAGTACTTCATTAAATCACTGTACCAAGAGGGGTTACAGCAGTATCTAGTTTCTTCAAGCCTATTACAGCTTCTCCAGTAAAAGGCAAAAGTCTCTAAATGCATGAAAAATACCTCAAAATGCTGTCACCTTCCTATGTGACTATATGTAATTTAAAAACAAAACAGGAGATGAAGTTTCACCAGTCCTTCCCTGTGACCTGGAGACTTCCATGATTGTTCACCTTTCATTACTGAAAGAGGGCACGCAAAAGAAACGCTACACTTGGTGCATAATAATATAGTCAAGAGGACAGAGGGAATAGCAGTTATTTAATATTCAGGAAAATATTTAGAAAAAATAAAGCTCAAAAATCAGAGTAACAATTTTGAATTGCACACATTACAATAAATACTCCTAATAAAATAAACCTATTTGCTTGAAAAGAATTAACTTAAACTAGAGGGAGCATGCACATTTTCTCTGGAGCAAATTCATTTGCCCAGATGTACAGGAAAACAGAAACTCCTGCTGCTGGAGCAATTGCACAAAATATTCATCAGCATTGCATTTCATAAAGGAGTGATGCAAGAGCAAAAGAAAACCTGAAGAGAGGAGGCTGATTTTGAAAGCAGAGACTGCAAGTCTGAATGAGAATCTGAAGGCCTGTCTGTAATCCCTTCACTCACTTAAATCCTTTTTCTTGTGTACCCACTTAATCACAACCACATAATCGCAACTTTACCTCGCTAATATAACCTTTTACCCAACATAGTTTGCTTTACCAAACCTAGATAAAAAATATGTCTATTTAGTAGTGAGCTTTTATAGGCAATGGTTCCTGTCATCTTTACTCTGAAGTTCAGGTGTGAGATGTCATGACTGTTTTGAAACTGATCTCGTATTTTAAATAGAGAAGTATTCTTATTTTATTTCATAGAAATGAAAGCCTAAAGCAGCCCATGCTTGGTGAGGCCAAAGGTCCAGCCAGCCCAGCTGTGTCCCACCACGGCTCACAGAAGATGCCTGCAGGAAAGCAGAAGATAGCCAGGATGCAGCAAGACTTTCCTGGACACTCTCTGAGCAACCAGCAGCTCATGAGTTAGCAATTTTCTGAGCCAAAGGTGGCTTTCTAGTTAACACTTGTTAATTAAATTTCTTCCCATTAATTTGTGCAGTTATTTCTTGAATCCATGTTAGTGTTCAGCTTCCACAGCTTTCTGTGAATGGTATTCCAGAGCTTAAGTATGAAGGTCAGTACTTCCAAGCAACAGTAATGCAAGAGTGCTATCCTAGAACTTCCCACGTGGGACTCATAAGAGGAGAGAGCCTGTGCAGTTCCCAGCTCAGGCACAACTACACCCACCTACCACTTTCTCATCTCTGTGTATACAGGACATAGCTCTGTCTTTCCAAGCTGTTGTAATGATGAACTGTGCTAATGACTGTAAGGCATTTAGCAGCACAGTGGCACATGCCATGGTAAAAAGGGTATTTGCCTTTGCCAAAGGGAAGAAATCATAGCTAGATTAGCAGTTATTAGGCTGCATTACTTAAATCCATTTGAGCCTCAGAAATTCATCACCAGGAGCCAAGTGCCCTACCACATACAGGACAACTCTCCTGAGTTAGAGATTCTCACACTTCATTGTACAATCTCATACCTGCAGTTGAGCATATTCAGGCTGAAGAATGTCCCTAGCAAATAGGCAGAGGGTATTTTCTCTGCAAAGATGCTCAGCTTTCTCTTAGGATAAATCAAGTTCTCCCAATGTGTGGCAGTGAACCCAAAAGGTGTCTGGCAAGAATGCAATGTAACCACCATAAATTAAATTTATGGAGGTCTAGACATCAATTTGTTTCTGCAGACAATTCTCTGAAGCCTGCCACAGGATGACAACTCACATTAATTGCTGTACTGTTGAAAAGCTAGTTGTATGTCTGCATTTCCTTTCGAAGGCCTATTTGCTGCAGCAAAGTACACCAAGATAAGAAAAAGAGCTTTTTTAGCTGTACAAGTTTCAATAAAGCCATTGTTAACAATGGATAAGCAGTCTTGGAGGGTACAAAATGTCAACATACTTTCAGCTAAGGCTATGTTGAAACATTGGTAAAAACTGATTACAGAATCCAATTTAGTGTTTCAGGGCCCTGCTCAATTTTGCAATACTGCAACTGGTGAAGAATGGAAGATCTGATGAGTTAGTCCTCTGTATCTACTATAGAAAGAAAAAAGATAACGAACAGCCAGCATTATTCTGCAAAGATACGATCTGCTGGTTAAGTATTACCTATCTGTAACAGCTTGTTTTCAAATAATATCTTCATAATTTTCAAAATTGACCTACCATTACACTAAGAAATGTGGAAGAGCTTCAAACCCATGAGTGAATCCAGAGCCACCTTAGAGAAGGACTAGTCAAATTTTCTGTTGGCTTTAGAGACATATACCACACACAAGCAAATTTTCTTTCACTTGAGCTGGTATCTCCTGACTGTAGACTGGCTGGTCAGGATTACTCCCCATCAAAACACTGAAGTAGAAGAAGAGGCACACCCCTTTGTTTAGAAAGATTATTAGGTGTTATGTTTACCCATTACTTTCTGACTAATATGCTAATCCCACCAAACCAAATTTCTGTACCTAACAGAGAACTCAAATAGGGGTTTGGAGTTCACTGAATTACAAACTGAACAATGATCAGACAGCCACATAATTATCAACATAAGCCAATAGCCTCACTCTAGTCCTACCAGTCCCTTAAGATACCCCCCCTAACACATAAAACCAAGCAGGTGGAGAAAAGAATAAAGGTGCAGAGAAGTGTGAACTGTAGTTACCATAACAGTTATCACCAAGACACACACAGTCTTCACAGTGATGACTTATCTGCCCTTGGAGATAAATGGCTTCCCAATTTTGCATTTGACAATCAGCTGCTCCACAAGCATTAGAGACAAATTAGGGTTAGACAGAGAAAGACATGAAGTTACAAAGGAGGCTGGAAATGGATTTGTTTTACAACAGTTGGTTCAAATGCTCAGGACTCCTGAAGAGTATGGGACTGAAAAACACCATTATAGACACCAAGTCAAGACTCTCCACCACACCAAGTAGCCAAAAATTTTATTGATTCAGAAGTGTTTGCAGACTATCCAGTACTAGACAGTTTAGTTCAACAAGCACTCTCAAAAACTACGACTAACAGGCAACAGAAGGAGACAAGAAATGAAGGGCATCATGTTCTAAGCCTGTTCAGCAGCTGGGAATTAGGTAAGTAATGTTTCAGGCCAAAAATCACAGGAAATTGCTAGTATCCATACAACAGGCTGAGGACAAAAACCTGCCAGCCTGGTAAAGGGGAGAACTCCTTTCTGATCCTAAAGCTGAATGCATCAACCAGGCTTCTTATTCAAGCAATCCTCATACCAGCAGTGCACTATCCCTTGTTTTGTCCCTCTAGCTGCAACGAACCTTAAAAACTTCCACAGTCTCATCAATGGCAACATTTGTATCAGCAAAAACAAGTTACAGGAATCACGAAGGCAACGTGCAAGGGTTTGAGAAATAAATGTTTTGTTTTCAACATGCAAAATACAATGGCAGAAAATCTGGGCCCACCTGCACAGAAGAGGTGTTTGGAGTGAAAAACCCCACAATTTTTCTTCTACCCTGTTCCACTATCACATAAACCAAAGGAAAAGGAATGAGCATGCATGACCTCAAAAACAATGGGAGAGGTCTCCCTAGGGATGTTAGATGGCCATGGTTCTATGCCCTGTGTCTTCTGGGGCTTTTGTGGCTCTACATGCCTAGATTATATGTCATAAAATGCTGGAAGTCTTCTCCAGTCAAGGAAAACAAAAAAGATATAAGCTGAAGTGCTTGTGATGCATCCAGAAATAATATTGCAAAAGCCAAGCAACCAAGTGGAATAAAACACAGGACCAGAACAAACAAATTATGACCATTAAAAAACAGAGTAAATCATTTTAGGAATGAAAGAAATAATGATTACAAGAAATAATAATTATAAGAAAAATTCAGAACTGTTTAGGCATACTTAAGAAAAATACCACAGTTAATGGATCTCAAAAGATGTCCAAATTTTCTTCTGTTTCAAATTTATTGACAGAAAATAGAACAGAATTTCTGTAGACTTTCAGCTCGAAAGACTAAATGCCAGTTAAAATCTAAATTATTTTGAACATGAAGATGTTGATCTTAATATTTGGTGACTTTTCTATTGGGAAATTAAAAATGCTTTGTTAGGTTCTTTTCTCACCAACAAGTATTTTACACAATTAACTAAGGTCACCACATGGTTTCCAAAAGAAAAGAGTTTGCAACTATTTCTGATGAAATGTCAGGCAATCTGCAGTATGGACTGCCTTCCTGTTGTGTCTCATCCCTTCAACCTTCCATCATATTAATGGTTAACAGGTTTTATCCACAGGTTCTAGATTAGCACAGAAAGAACTGTACAAATAACAGTATGATAGGCAATCAAAAAATGCATAGGGAGCATATCTAAAGGTATATCATAATTTTACATTTCCAACAGTATAAATCTTCCAATAGGGGCAATAATTCTGTTTTCTCTTTGACAAGGTGCCATAGGGCATTTGATTTGTACATTTTGAGATACAACTTACATTGCCTGAACTAAGAGAGAATCCAGATCTTAGCCCACAAATGATGAGGCTCAATTATTCACAGCAAGATTCCATAGCAAAGCAGCTAATTTGCTGATGTCTGACTCCACTCCCAACCAGAAAAGGCTCACACAGGAGGACAAGAGGATGCTAAATGCCTAGGTTCCTATTGCAGATGAAACTTAATAGCTAACAACAGTTAGGATTTGAAGCAAGCTCTGGTGCTCCCAAATGATGAAAAAGAAGAAAAGAAAAAAAAAAAAAAAGGAAGAAAAAAGAAGAAGACAACTCACAGCCCTGAATGATGCCCTGCAACAGTAAGAGCAGGAGGGAGGTGACCTACTCGCTGTCACTGCTGCTCTGGGGTTTTCTTTACTTGATTCAGAGAGTCTTCTGCATCCAAAAGAGGGATTGGCCAGAAAACAGAGCCCACACACACCCTCTGACAGATTCTCACTGCCCCTCACCTGGCAGATCAAAAAAAAAAAAAAAAGGAAGAAAAAAGAAGAAGACAACTCACAGCCCTGAATGATGCCCTGCAACAGTAAGAGCAGGAGGGAGGTGACCTACTCGCTGTCACTGCTGCTCTGGGGTTTTCTTTACTTGATTCAGAGAGTCTTCTGCATCCAAAAGAGGGATTGGCCAGAAAACAGAGCCCACACACACCCTCTGACAGATTCTCACTGCCCCTCACCTGGCAGATCCATTCTTGCACCTTTTGCTATTTTAAAACCACCCCACCCACTCTGCTGTCCAGCACTGCAACCTGCTTTATCCCAGTCCATGCTGAGCCTCACCAGTGTGTTTCCTGCTGTGCATCTGTAGATGGGACAGCTTGAAGTATCTCTTGTTGCAGCCAGGGTAGGCACACATGAAGGGACGTTTTTCATTTGTCTCACTTGCTGATCGGACAATGGTCGGAGCTACTCCTGGCACCCGCCGGACGTCCTGCAATGACACAGACTTGCTAATGCAACGAGCACGTTCTCGAGCTTCTGCTTAACATATTCAAAGAGAAACAAACAAGAGATGCCAGGACAAAGAGATACTGAAAGATATTATTATGCTGCCAACAGGCAACTTCATTTCATTCTACATTCACAAAGTGCAATCTTAGTGTAACTTTGTTCTTTGCGGAGTATTAACATGATTTGAAGTGAAATACAGTGAACTCTACTTAATAAATTGTCTCACCTATATTTATATGCAAGATTAAATGGGCCACATTCTGACCTCATGTATAATCCTGGAAGAACAGTCATTGGCATATGAAGTAGTTTTAGGCTTATACCAGTGTAAGAGATAACAGCAAGAGCCAGAGTAGCATCCTCTTTATTTTAAATACTCACACGAAGTTAAAAGACAGGGAAATGAACTTACTGGGTTAATACACATGGTAAAAAATAAAACAAGAAAGCCTGCCTAGGTGGAGCTGGTGAATAGTTCAGCCTTAATGTATTTTGGCTACTGTCACAATGTTCCATCAAAGATGATCTTCTCCTTCTGGGATAATTAGCTTCCTTAAACATTGTCTACCGCTTATTTTTATTCACTCTATAAAATCTGGCTCACGAGCCTGTTTCTGAGAGCTTGCCACTGAGTAATGACTTGTTAAACTATACAGAAAAGGAAAAGGAGAAAAGATGCTATCTAAAAGCACTGGTGTATGTTGACAACACAGAGCAACACAGAAGAGAAAAATATTATGTAATGACTTTGCCATCAGTTTTAAGAAGGTGTATCTTTTACAGTGGTATTTCTTGATGACATGACTGTTTCAGAAAGGGAGGAAATTAACTCCCATGAATGGTAAGTTCCTTTCAAATATTCACTAATTACTTAGTCATTAGGAAACAAACACTACATTTTGTTTTAAAGAAGTATGTTAGAACTAGTGAAGTTTCAGAAATCCCTAAAAGCAAAATGTCATCCAATACTTTCTTATACGCAGTTATCAGATCTAGTCCATTGAACTACAGAAGCCTCACGTGGCCGAAGTGCTTGGAGCTAGAAGTCAGAAGCTAGATTTTGGGCCTAGGCAGCTAGTAATGACTATTGCATTGCAGATATACTTTACAAGAAGAAATAAACTATTTTAAGTGATTGTATCTGAAAGAACACTTAAATTGTGCTTCAGTGAAGTCAGGACACTTCTTGTTAACACAGGGAAACCACAAATCAAGGACATATTTATAAATACCAGTGAGGTAGTAAATAAACATTTTAAACAGGCATCAATTGTCTCTTCCCTATGAAGAATGCCCTACTATACTCACTTGTATGCCTCTAAAAACTCCATGGGTGTGTATTCTGTATTGGGCCCCACAGCTGTATAACATGGGAGCACTGTGGTTCTCATTTTCATATCCTGCTGTATGGCTGTAAATAAAGAGGGGAATAATGGAAACATGAAATATTTTTCAGTACTCAGCTCCATATGAGAGGTTTCATTTCATAAGCAGAGCTCGCTTTTACAGCCATGACATCCAAGTTCAAATGAAATTCACCAAAGAAAGCCTGCTCTGCCTTTGTATGGATCTGCTCCTACTGATTCAATGCATGGACTCCATACATACATTTATTAGTACCCATTAAGACAGCCCAGAAAAAGAACTCTGATGTATTTCCACAAAGATTTTAGGTAAGAGGCAAAAATCCACATAGCAGCATGGCTGTGTCATGTGCACATGTACACGTTATTTATCAGTTAAATGTGGGGCTGGCTATTGCTAATATCTTTTGGAATGAGCAAAATGCCTCAAGTTTCACATTAAGTGCAGTGGATTTTTGTCAGCACCTCATGACTCAGATATTACCAGATACTACCAAGAAAGTGATGACATTTATAAGAATAGCAGTCATGTACTCATAAACAGAGATTACAAATCAGTGTCCAAAGTCTTTATCCCACATATCAGCTTGCAGGATGCGCTACAAATTAACCCTTTTATAAAAATAAAATTTAAAAAAAACACAAACCAGCCTATCCCTACTAGGTATAAATGTTCAACATTCTTCATGCAGCATCATCACAATGTTTTTTTTAATTTGTAACCTCTGTTGTGTTTTGGGGGTGTCACAAGCATAGGTTTATCTAATGACGTTCTTCACAATCCTATGTCCTCCTGTTCAGAATACTAGGGAACATTGCTGTGGTTCCTGTTTGCAACCTTCTTAATGCCAACATTATGTAAATAAATTTTTTTTTTATTTATTTTTAAAGAAGTATGTTACATGAGTGTGTACAGTGCCACATGTATCAATACACACTGGCAACAGTAAGTGCTCATGTTTTACACTGCACCAGAAATTAGAAAGCCCAGAACAAAGCCCAAGGGCACACAGCTAGGGACAAAGATGGATACATAGGATGTTATCCCAGACTTTGCCAAATGCTTGCAATAGTAATTTGAAGGGGTCCCTGAGGCCCAGACTCTCATTTCACTGGTCCTTCCTTTCTCTTCACTCAAAGTTCATGTGCAGCATAGAATTACAAGGAAGTTTTAAGCCTCTTAAGTGATTTGCAGAAGAGCCAGTGGAACTGGCATGTGGGAGATGTCTACATGGCTTGTGAGCCTCACTGCACAGGAGGGGAGCAGTACTTGTGAACAGCTCTAACTGCAGCCCAGGGGTCACATTCCTCATTGTTTGTCCCCATAGTGGCTTCCAGGCTGCCACCTGGCAGACATGCTCCTTTAGATCAAATCCTTTGCTGCTTAAAATACTACTTTCAAATCCTGGCTCTACCTGGCCAGTCAAATCAAAGGTTGTACCTTTTAGGAAGGTTTGCTCTGTTTATTTCAATTTTAACTAATAAACGGGTGGCCATTAAGGAATAACTTACAGGGTGGTGGCAATAAATTATCTCTGATCTGTAGTATTATCTGTAATGACAGAAAAAGGAAAATGCCACTATCTAATTTAAATGGATTAAACTCTTCTCTAAATACACATCAACTAAACAGGGTCTGCTCTCTTGCTCAAGAATTTTGCTCCTTAATACAAACAACAAATTAATTTGCTCAATTCAGATTCCCCACTAACTGTATTTTCCTCTCTGTTGAAAGGCAGCAAGTCCTTAGATGTTAAAAAAAAAAAAAAGGTTGAAAAGCACCCAAGCCATGGTGATATCCATCTAATCACAAAGAGTGCATTTTAAAACATAAATTAAGTGAGAACTACCATTTATAAGGAGGACATTCTGCAGAAGCTTTTACAGATCTGTAATGTAGCAAATAGAGGGTAAATATGAACTTCAACATAAGTCACCCTGAGTAACCATGTAACCTCTCATTCATGCCTGTGGTAGCAACCTTATACATTACCACAAACAAGAGACAAAGCTAGATAAGAATTCCAAGGACAGAAACTTTGGAAGGAGGAACAGGTGTACACAGTAAAAGCTTATACCATAAAACAGCTTCACTTTCCCACCAAATTCACATGGTTTTCATCTTTCAGTGTTAACTGTTTTTCTAAAGACGAGTCACTTCTGAAATAATTCCAACCAGGAATACAAAGCAGAACAAAGACCAGGTCTGTGCCCTAAGGAACGGCTCTATGAATGGGAGGCATCCTCCAGATGATCTCCATCTCCAGTTTTATTGCACAGTTGGGAACCCTTCCTGAACATTCAGCTGTTCTCCTATTTCCTCCCAATATTTCTAGTTATACTTCACTAAAACTGTACATAGAACTGCAAAGCGCTGAAGATTAAAACCTATTTTCTGAACCTCTTGACCGATTCAATGCTAAGTAATGAACAGCCACCTGCTTAACCAGCTCCGTAGGAGAAACGCTTTCATAAGCAGTTCCCATTTTACATTGGCCACATTTCCATCAACACTGGCTGGTACTCAGCGTGGTCATATGGATGTTGACAGCAAAATGAGATTTCTCGCTTAAAATACTATCTATTCCCTATGAAGCACCACAGAACAATCTGACCTTCAGGGAGATTGAAATTAACAAGTGAACGTTCTTTCCAGTCAGTCAAGAAACTGGAATAGTGAGGGAAGAGCTTTCACAGATTGTCTCTACACTGCTTCTCTCTGAACTTCAGCCTTTACTCAGCAGCCACAGTAACTGCACTGGGAAATACTGTTTTCTTCTCCCAGCCTCTTGCTCAGTGCATCCCTGATGCCACACAACGTACACCACAGTTGTCTTGTTTCATATTGCTGCAATTTATATACTAAAATAAAAGAACTGATGGAAGAACCAATGTAAGTCTCCTAAATACATCACTGAAACTCAAACACCTGCTTTATTGCATAGAAGAGAAAATGAGCAGATGCAATCTCACACACATGAGCAATAACCAGCAGTACACTAACTAATGGAAATCTTAAAGAGGGTGAGAGATTCCTTCACTTTCATATTTTTTGGTCAGGCATTCTATTTAAGTAGACAAAGGGACAATGCCCCACACACTCAGGCCACAATATCTGTATGTATAATAACAAAAAATTATCCTGATAGATTCTCAGGGCTAGATAACAGCCCAGGTCTCCACTGAAGCACTGCAATGTGGACACTGAACGCCCCAGGTCCACTAACAAATATGCATTATCAATTCAAAAGAAGATGCATTAGAGATCATGCTGTGCTGTTCAGATGAACAGGGATAATCCAGGGGAGGTAAACACTGAAACTCTGGGGGAGACAGGCTTCTGGGAGCAGGCCCACATGTTCTCTCCCAGCAGGATGGGCTGCTCAGGCAACACCACAGCAGCCTGGAGAGCTGCCAGCAGAGCCGCTCACTGCCCTGCTGCAAGTGCACCGAGCAGAGCCAGGAGCACAGCCAAAGCTCCTCACTGTCTGCCCCTGCGCCAGGGGATGAGCAGCCCCCAGGAGAAACTCAGATAAGGCCAGGAGGATAATCAAGGGGCAAACAGCTGAAGTAACCAAACAATTCAAAACAAAACAAATGAAAAAATCCCACTAAGGCCAAGAGCTCCAGTAAGGAGAGGCACTAGACCAATCCCTTCACAAGTCTTAAAAGGACTCAGGAGCAAGCAAGGCCAGATGCAGCCACAACAGCCTGCCAGGATCCAACAGATACTTTTGTCCGAGCGAGGACTGAAGGATTTGGCCTCACTGTCTAGTTCTGCCTTTACTTATAAATACACAACTCTCTTTAAGTTCAGTGGGAACAGCACAAAAACAGATCCAGAGTATAAATATTTAGAATTCAAGTTAGTTGGTGAAAAAAGGACCCAGCATATTTTGTTCCCGGGTTCTAGGCAGCCAGAAACAGACCTGGAAACAGAGCCATAAAAACGTAACTCTAGATAACTGGGAAACAAAGACTGATACTTCTGCAACATAAAACGCTAAGCAAGCACTGTGTTGTATTTAGAAGCACTTGCATTTGCCATTAGCCCAGCAAATCCTTAACACTCGGAGAGTAGCTCTTTTAAAATGATTAATCTCGAAGTTGTACAGATTGTACAAAGATTAATAAAAATGAAGGTTTTACAGATGAGAATGTGTGATGAAAAACAGAGCAGCTTTTGAGAGTTGTATCAATCTAAGTGGTTATAAAAAAACTCATAAAAGATGACATTCTAATCTGAATATTTTAAAAAATAATCAAGCTGCAATTTCTCTCTCACACCATTTTTACTTTGTTAAGCTGAAATTGTCTGTCTAATGTATAAAGCAGTTACAACTTAATCTGAAGAGTTAAGCTTTTTATTATTATTATTTCATAAACCAAAAAAGGGAAGCTTTAGGGCATACTGAGGAGAGTTAGAAAATTTCAGATGAAACGTGAATACACATTGATTCATGAGATTCAGACTTGGAAGAATTAAAAAAAAAAGGCAGAAAGCAAGATTACATAAAACAGGCACCACATTAAGCTTCAATTTAATTGTGTTTCAATGCAGGAACAGGAATTTTAGGGTTTAGAAACAGAGCCAAAAATGAGGCAAAGTGAGGGTGTGGGCTAGTCCCGTTGATAACAGAACATAAAGGAAGAGAAGTAGAGTTAATTCCCTCTGCTAAAATATTTACCATCCTAGCACCCTGGGAAAAATGTGTTTGGAGACAGCAAAAAGATTCTGATTAGTTATATAGAAGATCATGTTTCTGCCTGTTTTTTGTCTAATACTATTACGGAGGGTGGAGTATAAAGCTGCATTTTTATCTGTACTTTCCAAGGCAAAGGAATATTTAAAAATGCGATTTTGCAGATTACAGCCCTTCTGCCATCTTCAATGAGAAAACCAGCTGGTTGATGAAAGGAAGGCACTGGATTTTCAGGGGAACCCTAGTCTCTCTGACTTCAATAGTCTTTGTTTGGTTTGGGTGTTTTTTTACCACTGACCTGAGTGGAATCAGGAGTTCACCCAACACTTCCCTTCAAAACGAAACCCTCAGCTATCAGTGGGAAAGGGGAAATTCAGTATCAGAGACAATAAGCCATTGTCCATTTCCAATTCACAGTGACTGCAGAACAGAATCCAAGTAGGAAATTTTGCACCTCCATATTTCACTAATAACACAACCACAGTTAAACAGAAAAACCTTTACAATTCACTTCTGCACAATGCAACTTTCCACTGTTCCACTGAACAGGGTTCTAGATGCAGTTTTAATAGCATTCTGTTATAGGTACACCCAACCTTCCTTCCAGTGAGCCTCAGCAAGCAGCAATATATACAAAATTCCATGGAATGTGCTGTTTAACACCCATCAAAACAAAAAGGGAAAAAAAAAACCAAACACAAATTCTGTCAGGTTATATACTCAATCTCAGGAGACTATTGGAAATACAGATCAAAACTTTTTACCCAAGCAGCTGAAGAGACAACTCTGCAATATTTCTGTTACATCTTGCTGTTGGGTGTGTGACCACACTTCTTCTCTACCATGCCATATCATTTCCTGCTTGGTATAAATCATTTCCATGTCACTTTTATACAAATCTCATCAAAATATCAAGGAGGGCTTTATAGTCATGAGGTCTGCCTCTGCAACACCACTAGGAAGGGAAGCAGCATTTTCTACATTGGACAAATAAGAAAGCAACACAAAAAATATTAAGGACAGAAACTGAGAGGAAAGGTGTCCACTAATGTGGGACACCTATTTTGAGATGTCTGGGGCCCGAGTTATCAGGGTGGTAAGCTTGGACTCACAAACTTTCCTGCAACAGTATAAATCTTATCTCAGCTGCTCCAAACAAACTACTACAAAATTAAGAACAAACCACCAGCAAATGGTCTGAAGAGATAAAATCCAGTCCCACAGTGATTGTCGCTGCCTTAACCATGAAGTTTTCCTTTCAGATCCTTGAAGCTGACAGTTTGTGTGACAACTCTCACAGACAACAAACCAGCCGTCCCTCTTGTCAACCTAAAGTTCAGAAGGTAACAAGTCCCTGGACAAACAGTCAACACATAATCAACACACTAGCTCACAAGGCAGCAAATGTGGACTGATCCTCCCTCACACGAGTTATGAGACCAACTTGAGCTCAATTTTTGGCATTCAGAACCTAAGTGAAAATCTACAACATAGATTCAAGTCACTTGGACTATATGGGTTCTTTAGTAGTGGGTTGGTTTCTTCTGCAGAGACAACTCCTTGCAGAGAGAAGCTTATTTTGGGCCATCAGACTTCCTTTTGGTTTGCCAGCAAGCAGAAACATCCAGAACTCAACTTTCAGTATCTACTGCATGTTCTGGAGTAGTCTGGCTTGCAGCCTTTCCTATCTGCTTCTCCATTTACACCTCTCTGCCCTTCCTCTACCAGTCTATTCCATTACCGTACTCTGCCAGAAGGCACCTCAGTCCAATTTTCATGTCTCTCCCCACCACTTAGCAATGTCTGGCCAGGCACTCTATTCCATACCTTTTACTGTCCATCTCTGCTTGACACCCAGGCTATGCCTTCCTCATTTCCCTAATGCTTACACCTACTGAAGGAACTCAAACACTAAAACGCACTAAAATTAAGAAACTTCTTGCCTTCAGCTCCAGTACCTTATGTTAAAATATCCAGGGAGGACAAAAATCAGGAAAAAAAAAAAAGGCTTCTAAGACTGAAGCAAGCTCTGAGCAGATAAAATCAGTAGATAGGTTAGCTGCCAGGCTCTTGCTTCTGATCACACAGGAACAGGACCGTTCACAGGCTTGCAACTCAAGGGGAATGATTTTCACAGCAACTGAAAAGGACACAGCTTTGGCCACCTGGCAGTATTCCTTGCCAAATGTCAAACTCTTAATCTGAAGTGAGGAGATTCTGGAGCTGATCAGTCAAGTATTGGCAAGAATGTAAACAGCTAAAACCAGAACGCTCTCAGATGTACCACTAGGTAACTCGAGCATAGAAGCTGCTAGCTAACTGTACCTGAATTGCATGGCAACAGCTTCACTTCAGTACATTAAATTCATGCTGACCAGGAACCCAGAGAGCAAGCTACTGAGCTGGTTTACTGTCAAGGATAAAGCGTGTAACCCCTAAGTTTTATATAACTGTAGAGTTCTCTAACAATTTGCAGAACTTACTGGCAATGTATTCTTCCTTCTTATAATGTACAAAAGCCTTGTCAAAGCCAGGAAGAAGTGCTGGGGAGAACTCAAGGCAAGGAGCTAAACAAGGACTGTCATCATTGGACAGAATCTAGAAGCTCCGTATTTCAACAGAAAGACTGATTCCAAAATACTTAAATTACAACTGCAAGATTGAGAAAAGCATCTGAAATACTAAACGCCTGGGAATCACTTATGAACAGTTCATATATTTTAAAGATGTAAATCTTGGGAAGAATACCTTATGTTCATGGCAACTGAGATTGGAGGTACTGTGTATTGTAACTCTCAGCCAGAAAAGACAGATAACTATTTTGGCTCATATTACCAGTGATGAGGCTATGTCTAGCACTGATTTTCCACAGATTCTACAATCTTGGCCTATACCAAAACTTTCAGCTTCATTTTACCATAGATCATTCATCTTGATTTCTTCCCCCCCCCCTTTCATGCATCCTAGGTCACATACTTTACGCTGCTAACAGTCTGACTCCTGGACAAGTAAAAAGCCATTTATTTTGTTCAGTACTCCTTTAATATTTCCATTGTGTCTTTTTTTTTTTTTTTTTCACTGAGTTCCCCAAAGAATAACCTCTTCCTTGCTTTAATAACTTGGACCTCAGTCAAGGTTGATGTGTTTCTTCATTTTGCAGGATATTTTCTTCAGAAGAGACAAAACAGTGTCTAATATTGCAAGCACTGATCTTTAAAGAGTACAATTTAAAGAGGAAATAAAAAACATTTATGGCAAATAAAAGTAGGAAATAAACTTTAAAAGACAATCAGCATCAAGGACACTGAACTGTACGCAACTGTAGGATTTGGGGATCTTCTTAACCAAGAGAGTTCCTTGACGGATGCCTCTAGGCTCAATTCTCCAGCTCATTCTGGTACAGTTGGTTTACTGTGCTACTATCTTTTCCCTGTCCAAGAGCCAGTGGTGAATGAGCAAGCAGCAGACCTCTAACATTTTCTTCCCTTCCCACGCTGCAGCACTGTACACAAAGGCCATCTTGAGCAAGGTTTTCACATTTATAGACAACTACACGAAAGCGAAGATCTGTGTGGGTTTTTCTAGGTTACTCCTGTTGACCATTTGCAACTGCACACGCTTGGACACCGAGAACGTGGCAAAGCAAGTTGGTGACACCTACCTTGAGCAGAGGACTTGTCACAGCCCATTATCTACTCAGAGCCGAGCGGGCAACCTTGGGCTTTCCCTTGGCTAAGACCAAAAGGTGGCTCATGTGCTCATGGCAGAGATCACAGCTGAAACATGGTGAAGTGACGGGATCACGCCCACCCAGCAGGTCTCACTCCTTCCTCACGCTCCCCTGGGTGCCCTGGAGCACAACCGACCCGCAGCACGACTACCAGAGGCACCGGGCACTGGCACCCAGAGCTTCGTGCCTCCTTCCTCCCCCCTTCTCCTCTCCCTGTTCCTCCCCAGGGC